TATCTCTCCCTGGACAGTTTTTACAGTATGGAGTTTCTGTTTGGTAGAACTGCACACCACCATATTTGAGGTGCCATGGGAAGGATGAGGCAAGGAAGAAGCAGGTGTGGGTGGGGTAGCTCTTAGGGCAGTCTGTAAACCTGAGGGAGGAACAGCAGCAGAGGGGGTTGGGCCGTCCTGCAAAGTAGGCATGAGAATAGCAGATTGGGACTGGCAAATGAGATTTGAAATGCTGGCACAGGCGTTACCTCAGGAATGATAGTGAGGCTAACAGACCAAGAGGGGCAGAGGTGAAGGAGTAAGGTGAGGGGATGGAGAAGGGGGAATGCTTGTGATGAGAATTTAGAGCCTGATATGGACTGAGGGTGGGTTTAAAAATGAGTGAATACCTTTCATACATTTGAAAATATTGTGCTGTTAACAGAAATGGGGAAACTGAAGGGGTAGCAGGGAGAGAGCAGTGCTATTAAAAATGTCTGCTGTTTGTGGCTTCAGGCTAATAGCTCAAGCTTTCTACCATGACTATGATCCACAAACAAATTACAAATGAAATGGAAATGAAATGAGGGAAAAGAGATTATTATAAGAGAGGGACAAAAGCACTGTCTTCAGTTACAGAAAAATGTCTCTCTGGATAAATTCTGAGGAAAATAAGCCATGGCACAGGAGGTTCCAAAAGTTTGTCTAGTGGCTGCCTGAGCCCCTGAACTTGCAGTGCCATTCCTGGCCTACGGGCACCAGGCATGTCTTCCTCCTTCCTGAACCGCTAGGCCTGCTGGCTGCAACCCCTGGCTGGCCTCTCTGGCTTTCTAGGCAATGGGCAGTGCTCCTGGCCCACCCAGAATGGCAGGACCTTCCCTGCTCAGTGCTCCTTGGGATTTCCTGTCAGGCACCAGAGAACTCACCCAGGCTCAGCTGCAGTGCTGAGAGGGCGTCGTGGTCTCAGGTTGAAGCAGCAGCAGCAGCAGCAGTGAGAGGGTGCGCAGGTGATCTGAGGGGAGGTGCTTTCCAGGAGGGAGCTGTGAGGGCTGGAGCAGCAGCTGCACAGGGCAGGGCCCCATCTACACTAGTAATTTGAAGGGGTTTGCTCCTGCTGTTCAAATTGCTCCCCAGATGAATGACATGGGTGATGAATGACATAGTGTCTTTACAGAACACAAGTGCTAACCTATGTTCTGAGATTTTGTTGGCACAAAGGGGGATAATAGAACCTTTGAAAAAAATCTATCAATTTTAGAAATCCATTTTCAGAATCTCATTTGCATCTCAACACAGTCTCTTTTATTTTAGGTACTTTTATCACTTCTTGGGTATAGTGAGAGGATTAATGACCAGGCAGTTATATAGTCCTATGTTCCCTGGAAATCTATAGAAAATAAATAAGCTTATAATTCAGAAATGCTGGCTGAGAATTGCCCATAAGGCAAATAAAGGATGGTTCCTTCTATTACAGGAGTTAGCAAAAGGGAACAGATTACATACAAAGAAATCAGTGAGTTGTTCTGAGGCAGCAATGGCAGTGCAGGCAGTGGGTCCACCACCCTTGTTCCTCGGGTTACTCTAATGTCCTACAAAAAATCAGGTCATTTATACCATCAAAGAGTCAAGGGGACCAAGAGATGGAGAAGAGGGAGGGGAAGAGGATGTAAAAAGAATTAAGATGTGTTGTATACATATACCAACCCCTTACAATGGATGTAGTCATTATGCACGGCAAAGATACATCAATAAAATTTAAAAAAACAACCAAACAAGAAAACAGATATTTACCCAGAAAGTCACTGAATTCATGTATTCAACAACTGAATTTCATGACCCATACTCATCTGTAACTGCACTTAATCGTCAGCCTGTCTGCTGCCAGCAGGAGCTCAGAGACAAAAGTCCCCTAAGTCATTAGGCTCAGAAAGTACAAAGCACTTGAGGGACCTTCCCTGGGATCTCTTGGACAAGTTCAATTCAGATTTTCTTCATGTTCCTCTAGTTTCTTCACATTCACAGGCTATCTGGTCTACCCAGAGAGTATGGGCATTTTCAGGCCTCACTTTGGCCGGGAAATTCAGTGCACTGAATCTCTCTTCTTCACTACTTCCTTTTGTCCAGCATTTGGAAACCTATGCTCAAAATATTGTCATATTGACCTTACAAGGTTGCATCTTTTCACACTAGATTATACATTGTAGAATGCAAGAGTACAACTGCATTTCAGTTAAGTTGAAGCTTTACATTTATGTCTCACATTAGTTTGATGTGACTGTACTGTAGTGAAGGCCAACAGTATTTCTCTATAATGCTGAGTACAGTTCAGAGAGTTAAGGATAGTGTAGGGTATTTTATTTTGTCTTTTTCGTGGTGATTTCAAAGAACCAGGGAAATGACACTTGAAAACAGGCATTTGGATCCTAGATTTGCTCCTGCTCTGTTCTCCTCAGTGGCCTGGTGAGAGGCCAGGTTAGGGAAGAAGGAACCTGAGCCTGTATGTCAGAGGCTGCCAGAGATTCATCCACCTGCGCTGCCTGGATCTCAGTTTCGTATCTGTAATAAGGAGAGGGTGGCTTCAAAGTGGGAGTTTATTAGGGACCTTTCCAGTTCAAAGTTCTCTATGAATCAAGTTAGTCTACTTAAACTGTTTTTGGCTTACTACCAACTAAACTTTTAATAAGTAGTTATTTTATTTCTCAATACTAATTTTTACTTTGAAGTGCTTAGCAGATAGAAGGAGAGAGGGAGGAGAAAAAAAGGAGAGATAGAGATCAACAGGGAGGGAAGGAGGAAAGAAGGGAAGGAAGAAGGGACGAAGAGGGGAAGGAGAAAGAGGGAGGGAGACACAGGGACAGGGAGTAGGAAAGGGAAGGGAAGGGAAGGAAGAAGGGACGAAGAGGGGAAGGAGAAAGAGGGAGGGAGACACAGGGACAGGGAGTAGGAGGGAAGGGGGATGAACATGATCTGTTACTATTTTATAAAAGTGAGCCAAATGATTTTGGCTTGGAAATGGGAAGGGATACTGTTAGATTTCTGAAAAGAACCCACGCAACTCTCAACAGCTCTAGTGGTCCACAAAAGCAAGATGGAAAATAATAAGCCATCACCCTTTCCCTAGACCACAGCAGAAATGACTGATTAGAAGGCATGTTAATTAGGCCAATGGGGCATGTTTAGTAAACTGTTTCACCCTGTAACAGCAAGTAATAGCTCAAAAGGCTGAATTTATGTCCACTAAGCTCTTCCTTTTTATACTACATAAGCCCAAGTCTTGTCAGAAAGTACTATGTCTGCTAAATCTTTGCCTGGTTCTACTTTTCCTTAGGGTACAGCTATCATTTTCATATTATCACCTAATCAGAAATATAGAGCTAATGATCAGGAAAGACATCCGCCCAATTTCATGTTCTGCATAATATGTAGAATCTATTGTGGATACCCATAGACTTCAAAATAAACTGTAGTAGTATTTTCCATAGCCATATGGATGAATAATCACTTGCTAAATTGGAAGGAATATGAATATAGATGTTCTGTGAACAAAGTCTTTTTGGTACTTAGTACTGGTGTTAATAGAAAGGAATAAAAGTGTGGAAGTTGTGGTCCACGCAGTACATCAAAAAGCAGGCCTCCAGATTCTATGAGGGAATCTTTCATTTCTATAGTTTTAAAAGATGATGCTTTCAGGGTGTTCAATAACAAGAAACTCCTTATTTTCTAGCTTAGAAATACTACTTAATAATTTTGAACAAATGAGTTCAACATATCTTTTCTAGTGACAAGATGTTTCCATTTCCATTGCATACTTTGTGGCCTAGAAGACATTCATGTGCAAGCAAACTGGGGAATAATCATGCTTAATGCAGCTTTCAACTTTAAACAAAATAGCAGCAAAAAGCCCCTTGAGAATAATATTACCCAAAGCACTCTCATGTATCAGAAATTTCTAAACTAAAAGCTCATTAGTTTCAGTATGGAAAATGTTCAAAACAATAAAACACAAGAACTGTGTTAATACATTAGAGAACTGTTTTAATTAACAATGACAGCCATACTGTCTTGGGAAAGTACACTTGGCCAAAAGTATTTTTCCCCCTTAAAAATAAAGATGTGGCCAAAAATACAGGCCTCAGGCAATTATTATTTTTAAAAGAAAGGCAAAACATCTTTTTGAAAAGAACATTAAAATTTCTTCACTGAAGAACCTTAAAAATTGTCAAAGTGAGATAAAGAAGATAATGAGAAAGACGACTTTGGATTAATAATTGGGTTGAATTACTCAATATTAAGAATAACAGAACACCTAGTTTTAAGGGTATAGACAAATCTTCAAAACATAAAACATTTCGAATACAATGATTCAGTGTATTTAAGCATTTCATGACCTGTAGTTGATTCACTTTTCTCTGAAGAACTTCACATCTGGAAAGGCCAAGCATTGGGCAAGGCTGGGCAAGGTCATGCTATTTGTGGACGGCACTGGCAGAACATTGAAATTTGGAAGGATAATGTTTTCTAAGGGGTTTTACAGGACATGGGAAGCTGACAAGGACTTCTGGGTGATTTGGTCACACAGGATGGTGCTGGCCAAGTTTGGGGCAGATGTGCTTAACTGAGGATGGCTTGGACTAGGGATACTTTATTTTTTAGGAGGGGTCTGGATGGCTGGAGTGAGGCCTGAATGGGATTCTTAGAGAGTCATTCACAGGAAAAATGAGCTCCCAAAGGGTTGTCCTCCTTGCCTTCCCAAAGCGTAACAAATGTCTTATGACTTTCTGGACAACTCTGCTGCTCAGCCTCATACTCGCAAGCTAATGAGTACACTGTACCAGAAGGTACAAATGTGTGCCGTGCTCATGTGGAGTCTGTGTAGAGGATTCGGGCATTAGAAGGCTTAGTGCACAAAATAAATTTTGTGGTTTCCTTAAACCTTCTGATTCTACAATTTAAAGCTCTTTCATTTCCCCTACTCTGTAAGTATGGTAAAAAAAAAAAAAAAAAATGCTTCTTAAAGTTACCAGCAGATATTTCCCAAAGAGAAGTATCAGAGGTTGTTTGTAGTTTGACCCCAGAAGTGATACCATCTCTTGGTGAATTAGATCTTTTTGAAATGGAAACATTCATATATCCTCTCGTCAAGACCAGGGTCCATGTCTTAAGACATCTTGTGTCCTCAATAACCAGTAGTGTGCTCACTGGGTGGTGAAACAATAGAGAGAATCATTTAAACCAGCATTCAAATCCAAGGTGTGCTCTAGGTAAATTAGTACAGAAGACCCTTTCAGTCTAGCTCTATTCAAATTAATCTGATTTATGTTCAAATGAAAAAAAAGACTGCCAAATTGTCATGTATGTTTCTTCCTATTATCCCTAAATTTTACAAATTCCTTGAGGTCATTTTAGGAGAGGCAATGTAACAGTTTCTAGGAAAGAAAAAAATCTCTGAAAGAAAATCCAGAAAAATCTTATTTCTGTGAGAAATTATGGCAGAAGAAAGGAAAAAAAGCTGCACCTTGGGCATATAAAGACCAAGGCATGAAATATCTGGCCAGTTCATCAAGGGAGTCAAATGTGAGCGAAGCGTGCTTCTAAGCCAGGCCGTCTCTGGTGCACACTGCTAGCTTAGGGAGCTCCACACATCATTCTGCAGCCTTGTGGGTTGCACTGTGTTATAGTGGAGGGGAACTTGGACATTGCCCAGTCAGTTCAAAGTCAGGGGAGGGGCTGGGGATTTAGCTCAGGGGCAAAGCGCCTGCCTGGCAAGCGCAAGGTCGTGAGTTCGGTTCCCGGTACCGGAGAAAAAAAACCAAAAAAAAAAAAAAAAAGCAACAACAAAAAAAAACAAAGTCAGGGGAAAAGAAGGATCAAAGAAAGAAAGCGAATACTCATACTGCAAACAGCACTCTCCTCTGTGCCTCCTTAACAGGAAGCTTTGATTTTTGGGGCATAAATGCAGGGATTTTGTTGAGTTTTTGGATGGACATTATTCTTTTTTCCTTGATCCATTTAGTTTAATTTTCCATATATATATATATATATGAATGTGTAAATTACTTTTTGGTGTGAGGTGATAAATACCTTAAATGCCTTTTTGAAAGAATATTTACTAATAAGTGAATGTGTAATTTGTAAGTGCTAAGGCATATTCAAATACATAAAGCAGTCCATTCCAAAAGTTAAGACTACAGGTAAAGTGTGTTTTAGTACATAATGTTACACCTTATTTGATAGAATAGGAGATACTAATGTTGAATTTCTCATAAGCTACATTTATAGCTTATGAGAAATTGGTTCCCTTTAGACGTTAGATGCAGGATGGTTTGCTGCCTTCCCAAGTGTTACTGAATCACGGCTGACAGAACTCACAACTCTCAATTTCATAATGGAAGCCAGTGGGGAATGGGACTAGTTTAGAAAAAATGTTGTTAAAAATTAATATTAAATATTTCAAGCATAAAAAACAGTATAGCAAATATGAAACAAATGTCCAGGTACCCACCATATTAGCTTTGCCAAAATTAACATTTTGTCTTATTTGTTTCAGATTTCTCTAAAGGAACAGAACTGGAATACATGATCTAGATTCATTTTTCTTCTCTTCCCCCTCACAGAGATAACCAATTTCCTCAATCTATTTTATCATTCTAAATATAAGTTTTAACTTTATTGATGTGTGTACATCCAAAAATGATTTATCACATTTATGTATTTAAAGACTTCACACAAACTGTACCATGCTGTGATTACTACTCTGCAAATGTTTCTCAAGATTTACCTGTGTTGCTCTATATAGCTCTGATGTGCTTATTTCAGCTTTGCATATGGTTAAATTGTGTGCAATTTATTTAACCATTTTCCTGCCAATGAATACTCAGCATTTTCCCTGAGGTCTCTATTCTAAACAAGGTTGTCATTGATTTATCTGCCTACAGAATTATTACTGAACCCCAAGCACTCAGGAACACAGGTGTTCCCAGGGCAATGTCCACCCTCCCAAGACAGCGTATCACTGGCTCCTCCCTGTCTCTCCCTCTCCATCCACTTCCTACCCTCATGCCACGGGCTATCTCTCTAACTATGGTCTCTCCACTCCCATCCCTCCTTGTAATACTTCTAGCTGGTACCACTAGGTTGGTGACTACAGAGGCCTCCTAGACACTAGGCTTGTGCCCTTCACACCAATCCTCTACTCTGCTGCTGACTGGCAGGATGCATGGCCGCCACGCCCTGGTGTCTTAATCACACATGGAGCGCAATTAAGTGCCTCACAATATGTTTCTCAAACTAGGCCTGCATCTCTTACTAGTTTTGATTTCCTTTCGTAAGTTTGACACAGCAGTCCCCTCCTGCTGTAGAAGGAGGAGCTAATTCCCATGTGGTTCTGAGCCTCTGCTGTGACTGCAAATGTCACTTCTGTTTACCCATCGATTCTTGTTCCCTTTTTGGGTCAACTTAGGTTTCATATCATCCAGAGAACTTTCTTGCCCACTCTCAACATGACCTTCACCAAGTCACAGAGTGTGCCACATTTCCCTGGCATCCACAGAACCCTCTGTGCTCTTCCCCAGACTGAGTGCTGCTTGAGTTTAGACACTAGGTTCTGTTCACCTTTAGAGCTCTGGAACCTAGAAAGTGACTGCGAATACAAACAGGCACTCAGACACTGTCTGAACTGAAGTGGAAGGGGGCCAACCCATTAAGTACGTTTTATTTTCATAACAAAGGAGAGCCACACTATTTAAAACAAGTAGATTTACTATGGAATACAAAATAAAAATTGATGTATTCAGCTCTCCATGAAGAAGACATCTGTTAGCTGATACTTACACATTAATAGGTACAATAAATAATTCCAGAGATGACTGCAGCACTGCAAATGCCTTCTGAATCATTAAATTACACGCAGGCTTCCTCAAAGTTGTGGGCATTCATATTTTCTTTTTTTCTCCCCATCTATTACCTAATCCCAGAGCCTCCCAACCCCTTTACAATGTCACTATACAATGCCATGGTCTCAATTATTTTCAACATTTCCTCTAGGACAGGATCACATTTCATACCCACCTGTAACAAGCTCCCTTACTTCTGCATCAATAGATTTTCTCAAGAGTCGTAACAAAGCAGGTATCCCACCAACATTTTTCATTGCTATTTTATTTTCATCTGTAGATTTGCCAAAAACAAGGTTTCGGAGGGCACCACAAGCATTCTTCTGAACTTCTAAAACTCTGTGGTCCAAAAGATCAACCAGATGCTTGATACCTCCCAGCCTATACACCTAGAATGAAAGATGCGGCACCAGGCCTAAGTGACATGCGCTACATCAGCAATCAAAAGTCTGTTACAGAGAATCATGCGAGGTGGGTATTTCCAGGACACTTTAGAAGATTACCTTTTATTTTAAATAATACAACTTTTGTAAATTCTAAGGACACTCTCCAAAATAATACTGTTTTCCTGGGTTCATGGCTTAACAAGAGATGAGAGAGTGAGCTGAGTTAATGTTCATACGCACACGGCATAGTCCTTTGCCAGGCCTCTGAACAAACACCGGGAATTGTACCCTCACTCCAAGAGCACAATGAGCAAATTCATGAGCACAACATAGCTGTATGCAGGGCCAGAGACAACAGAGAAGGACCTTTTTGCTAGGACCAGTTTCTAGAATTGCTTTTCTAGGTTACTCTCCCTGTATTTTCTTCCATTTGGAGGTTCATTAGGATAGTACTTGAATGTTTCTGGGCTTCATTCTCTGTATCTCCTTTAGGTCTATAGTTGATATGCTATTCTGAACATTAACCTGACAAAAAATACTTCCATGACATTTTGTGTTTCTGTATGTGAGAGGCATAAAATGTAAAAAACAAAAAAAATCTGCATACTTAGAACACTAGCCAATAACCAATAATTCGCTGTGTTTCTATACATGCAAAGACACTTTGAAATCTGAAATATAATATTCAGATATGGTTAGCATTAGTATAACAATTATAAATCTTCTGTAACTTTAGTTGCCAATGATCTTGACCAGAATCTCATGAAATACATTAGCTCATGAGTTCATTAAATACTATAATTTTTTTCTAATGGATTTAAAAAAAATATTTCTAAAATGCAGGTTAAACTGAATTTTGCTTTGTGTTTTATAAACAAGCTAATAGACAATGAATTGACAAGACTAAAAGGGCTCAGGGAAATACAGTGGTACCTCCATCAGGAACTTAATTCTTTCTGTAAATCTGGTCACCAACTGAACTATATGAGGACTGAATCAAATTCAATGGTTAGGTTCAATGTTGACCTTATGGAGTCCAATTCAGTTGACGATCAGAATCATGGGAAGAATTAAGTTTGTGAGCTGAGGTACCACTGCAATTATCTTAGTTTTTCCTGCGACAGCTGGAGGTACAGTTCAGTGATTGCCTAGCACATGAGAGGCTCTGAGTTCAATACCCCATACCATTAACAAAACAAAACAAACCCCTAATTTCCCCCAAGAGATACTGATCTAGAATCGAAATATCCATTCAAGAAGGCATCTAGTAATTTCTTTCTTTGTTTCCCTCCCTCTCCCTCTGCTTCCTTTTCCTCGCTTTGAGGTATTGGGTCTCCAACCCAGGGCCTTATGCATGCAAAACACACATTCTATCACTGAGCCATGTCTCCAGCCCCTGGCAATTTTGTAAGTAGCAAGCACATGGCTGCTAAACAGAAGGGCATCCCAGGCTCTGGATCTGTACCTCCATCTTCACTTTGTTGTCACCGAAGCACAGGTGCTGCAGGTAGGCCGCTGCATTTGCCTGGACGGAAGGGAACTGGTGCTGCAGCATGTGAATGACTTCAGGCAACTCAGGATCACGCCAGGCAAATTCCCTACATGACAAAGACTTGGCTTCAGAAAGGAAGGCCCATGGTTATAAGGCAATGAACAAAACGTTTGTAGGGGAAAAAACCCAGCTGAGACAAAAACTGGAGGTTACAAAAACCTTAAATATAAATATATATATAATGTATATGTGTGCATATCTATGCATATGTACGTAAATAATCTAGTCCCCTGATGAGCACGTGCAGAGGCCCGGATGCTTATGATATTACACAGTCATGATGCACAGATACATAGAAAGCAATTCAGGAAAACAAAGGAGATTCTTGATATGGCTAACTTTTGTTCTCTAGGGTTCCTCCTTCTAATTCTAATTTTATGCCTTGCTACCTATGTGAGAACTCTGCAGACGCAGGGTGCAGGCAAATGAGTGCACTGGAGCTAAGTGAGATGTCACTCAGGAGACAGGAAGGCCTGGTGGGAAAGGACAGAGCTGGTGTCAGCCTACAAAGCACAGACACAGAGGCCATGGCGATTCTTAGGAAATGTAATTAAAAAACTGATTATTAAATAGCACTGAATATGCCATGAGTACCTGTTCTATGTCAGGCAGTACTATAGGCTTTATACTATATATATATATACACACACACACACACACACACACAGTTACTTATTCTTAAAGCAGTCACGTAGATATGAGGAAGAAAGGCTAAGGAACTGGTGACAAAGCTCATAAACAGCACAGCTGCCTCTGGACACAGGAGTCTCCCTTCAGAGTCTATGCCCTCAGTGCTATACTATGGTTTGTATAATGAGTAGATAATCATACTACATACAGATTCTTTCCATACTTTGCTTTCCTGCAGGTAGCATCACAATTTGAGTGTCCTATTGTCTGGAATCCTTGCAACATATGTATTATGGTTATAGAATGCGAAGAGTGTCTTTTTCAAAAATGGTTCATAAAACAACAAATTGTAGACTCTCAAGGGACGATGTTAACTGTTAGCCAAAGATGAATTAACACTGAATAAATATAGAAAAATTACCCCTAAGATTAACAACAAAGTGATACTTTTATTGCCCAATTTTTAAGGTTCTAGAGTTTCACTTGGTCTGGGGAGGCTTCAGGTATTAACTTTCTAGTCCACTGCAAAGGACCAGCTCATTACATACCTGCATACATATGTATACACCATCTATTCAAACAGATACTTAGTGAATCCTTGTGACCTACAGATGCCATATTGGTGTCAGAGATATATGTATTGAATGAGATATGGTTTTACATATGGGGCCTTGTATTCCAAACTAAAAAGTTTACTCTAAACTGCAATAACAGGAATTATCATTTACTGAGTTTACTTGCATCAGACATTGTATCTAGAGCTTTAGATTCACTATCTTATTTTACAATACTATTTATTACACTATCTAATATTTTACAATAGTAACTACCCCATGAGGTAGTTACTATTAAATATTAGATACAAATAAGGAACTTCGAGTTAGTAATTCAGCGGTGGAGGTTAGTAAAATAAATGGTTGCTCTGTGTCCCATACAAAGGGGACAGAAAACTAACAGTCTTTGAAGCAGGAGAAAGACAGAATGTGACATGAGCACACCTGTGTGGACAGTAACACTGGTGACTAAGTACAGAATGTATTAGAACCACAAAAGACTTGGAGAAGAAGACTATGCACTCTCCACACAGCTGCTCAAAACCAAGAGCCACCTCTGGTCTCAGCCATGGTCTGTGTCTGCATGTCCCCACAAAGCTTAGTGCAGTCATGGGTGCAGGCTTCTAGAGTTTGTGATTGATCCATGGCCCAATGCTGGGATTATGAGTGTGAGTGCTGCACCTGGCCTGGGGCAGGCAGCCTGCATACAATATAAGGGAGGGAAAGAGGCGTGATCTTGACTGCTCCCCACTTTTGTGCTCTTGCTGCTTTTGCTGTCTTCCGCCACCATGAACAGTTGCCCCTGCCATGTGCCACTCTGCTTTGGAGCCAGCCGAGTATGGACTGAAACCTCCACAAACTGTGAGCTAAATAAACCTTTCCTTCCTTAATTTTGGACATCAGGTATTTTGTCCCAGCAATGAGAGAAAAGTAACTAAGATGCTCTTTCTCTTTCTTTTATATTACCATCTATTATTCCACCAGTAGGCTCTGTTGACCATCTGCAAAATATTTAATATAAACCCAATCCATCCATTCTTTAAATTTTGCCTAGACTAGTCTAATAGTCTGGGTTTTTTTTGCTTCAAGTATCACTCCTTCCCCCAATCGTTCTTTGTATAGTGATTAGTTAATCTAAAAACTGAAGTTAGGGGAAAGATGGACATTTTGGCTTGGAAAATATTGGCCAGGTGATAGCATTACAACAGATAGTAAGAATACAGCAAATGCCAAGACAGGAAGGGTAACAGAAAAGAAAAATCACAAAATTTGGAGTCAGACTGCCTGTGTTTAAATCTTGGGCCATTCAATTACTATGCTATTTTTGAAAGCCAGTTAATTATTTGGAGTTTCAATTTCCACATCTGGAAAATAGGAACTATAAAACTGTTATATCTATCCTCTTCATAGGTTGACTCTGATGATGAAAATTAAAATATTTTGTATACTTTGAATTATAATACAGGTATTTTATTAAGATTCAACATCCGTGAAGAATGAGCTTTCATAAATAGATACAATCTCTGTAGTAACAATTTTCCTTTTATGGGTTGAAAATATGTTAACTATTTCTGATGAAAATCTGCCTAAAGCCTATCATGTAAATCTATGCTGAAATTTATAGGGTGCAAGGAGTGTGATTTAATCTTCCCTTGATAACTCACAATTGTTATAAATACACATTTTTGTTCTCTTTAAATGGTACCGTGCTGGTCAAGATTCCCTGATACCCATGGGTACCATCAGGGCCAGACAGCACAAAGGGCAGTCGGCAGCTGGGCAATTAGACTTCTCAGGCATTAACTCCAACTTTCATTTAAATTCAGAAGAAATTTACCCTGGAAAGAGTGTTATCCGTTTGTGCAGTGGCTGGATGGCAACAGTGCCTTCTAGAACCTATTTCACCAAAACCTAAGCCCAGACTTCTGGTTTGAGCCATGATGAAGTATAAAGTATTCAAATTTGCTCTTCCATAAACGACTGTAAAACTGAGCTGAATGTCTGGGGAAACTGTTTTTAGGCCCTGAACAAAGACAACACAAAAATAAAATTCTTGAAAGGAGGGAAATAAAAACCCAAGGAAGCCATTGCTTGACTTGTACCTAAGGATACTTTCTAGACTGAGAGCAGGAGGCTGAGTTCAAGCAATACATGACAGACTCAGCGAGCTAAGGTCATGCCAAAGTAGTCAGAATGTGCAGGGCAGGGCACTAGAGAGGAAGAACTCACACAGGGTGATTCTACAAGTTTGTATGATGATTCTCCTAAGGCCTTAGACGAGCACGGGGTTTTGAACATGGGAGGCAAACATGCAGGTTTGAGTGAGAGTGGCTGCTGCACGGCTGAGGCTAAAAGTTTGAATGCATTCCCAGCCTGGAGTGCAGATCTTGCTCAGTATCTCAGGAATTGGGGTAAAACCCCACCAGGGCCATGTTTGAGGAGTGAGGATGAACCTACAGAGTAAGAGCTATGTTCTAGGGCTAACAAGAATCTGAAATAGACCCAACAAAAAACCAAACTATTACTGATAGGATCAAAAAGATCTGCTGCTGAGTTAGTGATCTGCAACAGGGAAACATAGCACTCTAACAGGAAACAATATAATCCAGATTCCTATATGTTACATATAATCTAGATGTTTGAAGTAAAGGAGGAGGAATTTTAAATGGTTATTATAAATGTGTTCAAAGAGTTAAAAAAATGTATATAATCAGGACTGAATAGATAAATCTCATCAGACATGGAAAGAAAAGAATCAGCTTGATTTAAAAAATAATCACAATAAACTCGATTAGTATGAATAATTAATGCAGGTGAAGAAAAAAAATAAAGCAGCCAATCAAACATGAAGTACCAAATTCGAGTATTTGAAAAAATATTCATTGAATAAGTAGATTGAAAGCTACAGAAGAACGTGTACTAAATTTAAAGAGATCAACAAAAAAAATTCAGTTAGAAGAATATAGAGAAAACAGATTTTACCCTAAAAGACCAGAGCTTCAGTAATTTGTGAAACATAAAAGTGATCCAAGAGGCAGAGGAATCCAGGAGGCGAGGAGACAGTCTCACAGGACAGGAGAGAGTTTGGGAAAGAAAAAAAAAGTCTCAGTGTACCCAAAGCAGGTGAAAGGCAAGAAGACCTAAACCCAGAGTGAAAGTGCTGAATGCTGAAGAGAAAAATCTGAAATGAAGGCAGAGAAAAGACTCATTACATAGTGAAAAGTGATGCAAAGGTCTGACTTTTCTTTAGAAACAGGTCTAGATATAATGTGTAGAATGTTTTAATGCACTGAAAGAAAAAAAAAAATCCACACCTGTACATAATGAATTTTATATATCATAAAAAGAATTGTAATTAGTAAATATGTGGGTGCCTACAAATAACCATTTTAATTTTTCAATTTATAAAGGAGATAAATGATTATTTCACTAAAGACAATAACACTATATAACAGATGTTTTTGAATGAATGTAGAAGTAAAATATTTGATGATAGTGTAAAACTGAAGGGGATGGTCAATGGAATTATTCTATTGAATACCATCAAGTGGACACTGCTCAGAAGGAGCACCAGGAATGTTGCCATTCTTAAAGTCACTGGCTTTTTATTAGGGAAATACTTCTTTGCAAACCCTTTTAAAAACATCACTTGCACTCTTAACGGATTTGGCTTCCAAACAGACAACTACAATAAAACCTCACAAATTACTTTTTATATAGTAAACATCAAAAACCTCTTCAATCTTACAGAGAATGTTTTAGGTTAATTTTTATGTAGCATTAACGGTAAAGAAAGGCTTACAAGGCATTACTGAAAATTCTAATTTCCTGACACTGACAAATAAGAGGTCAAGAGCTTTTTATTTTGGTTTGAATATCTGAACTCCAAATTCACCTGGATTCCAGTTTCAGATGAATAAATTCAGCCATTATTATAAGATAATCAATTCACTTTAAAAAATACATTATTAAAGTTTCACATAATCAAAGCTAGCCGTAACAGTTTTATGCATTAGACCATGCAATTATCATACCATGAATATCTGAAGTATATTATCATAGAGGAAATTCTTGTTTACAGTGACTCAGCTCAGAGTAGAGGTCAAAACTGAAGTTGTCAGGTGAACATATTAAAGTCAAAACTGTAATCACACTTCACCACCTTTGTAGTTAGCTATTATTTTCTCTGTCGGTCCAGTTAAAGTATTACCTAAATTACCTATAATTTAAAACTCATTTGGGAATTTCTTCATCTACTTGAGTACCTTAGCCTTTTGTCATTTTAAAGATTTAAAAAAATAATGTAACGGTTCTCTTGACAATTGTATATGAGGTTGTACTACGCATTTCTTTTTTAAAAAGAACAATTCTTAACATGACAAAAAGGTGGCAAACCAGGAATAGGAGAACAAAAATGCACACATAATCCTTAAAAAATTTTAGGAATAAAAGGGAATAAGTAAAGTGATTTTACTGAAGCAGTAGACTTCCCATTCAACTCTAAAGTACAGTTAGTTATTTTAACGACGAAAATTTCACTTCTTTTAATTCATTCATTAGAATAAGTTGGTAGGTTGCTTAAAATGAACTGGTAATTATAACAATTTTCCAGTGAAAACAACTATTTGTGGGCGAAGATTGAGTGAAATCTTGCTAATACACGCCCTAAATAACACTGAAGCTGCTTAAAACTTAGTAATAATTTCACTTTCAAGAATGAAAATTATTTTAGTTATGAGTCACACTTACATTAAAAAGTATTGTTTATATAGCCAAACAAAATAGAGGAAACCTCTACTATTTGCCAAATATTTTTTGCTTAGAAGATTTGAGAATTTCTCATTATTTTCTTCTAAACAGCCAAAGCTTTCCAGAAGACGGTGTTAATTAAAATTCTATGTACAATTACACAATATGATTCAAAATGCACACACTACTGGTCCTTCCCAGTCAAGAATAATATATGAATTTTCTGAAGATCTTGCCAAAGATGCCAGTCAGAATGAGTGAAAGGGGAAAAATGACCCTTCAAGGTCTTTTGTTGAAGAGACTATATTCCTATAGATCTGTGCTTTCTCTGTATTACAATTAAAGCATGGAAAGAAAGACTCTGTCTTCCAAATGAAATTCGTCTCAATGACTACATAGCTGGAATACAACTGGAAGTATTAGAAATAATGAATTACTGACATTATAATAGTCTTCATAACGTAAAGAAGTCAGAATAGTTATCTTGTCACACAGCGGAGTTTTGGAGACTCCCAAATGACACTTGCCTGGGGTCTTTCTGAATGCTGTCTATGGATGGGGACCTAGTGGTGCCATCATCGGCTGGTGCCGCGTGCTGAAGTCTGTTATAATTGCACTCTTGTACTCGGTATTGTATTGGCCTGTAGGGATCGGCATAGGTAGCTGTTGTGTTCAGAGCATAATTATTTCTTTGGTATGTAAGGGTACTTCGTTGACTGGATGTCCTTTGTAGATTTCCAACACCTACTGGAAAATCAACATTTTGAAAAGAATCAGTATGCTTTCCATGAGGCCATACTTTTAATATGTAAACATTTTAATTTTAGGAAGTATTACAGTTTTGGAGCAATATAAATTGTTTACTTTTACATTTCACAAATCGAATTAATGGTAAAAAAACACTAGTGCCAACAATACTGTCTAATATACAGCAATATTAAGTCAACTTTATTAGCAGGAAAGAACAAAAATGAAAGCATAAATTTCCTTGTAAAATAGGTCTTAATATACTTATTAAGATTCATTAAGTTAAAGTTCCAAGAGAAATATAAGAAATTAATCTTAGAAATAATAAAATAGCAGAATTTCATTATCATAATAAAAAAACTAGGATCTTTATTCAAATATGCAAACAACTGAAACTGTCAAACTTTTTAACATTTAATGTGTATGGGCTACTAATTTTGATATATACTTTATTTTTAGATGTGTAGATCTTGATAATGTTGGAAAATCTACTTCACAAGAAAGAAAACTGACATGCCAAATTATTCTGTAGCTATTCTCATGAATTACTGCATGATGTTTTACATGAAGGTACTGTCCACTGCGTTTAACATTTCTGCCCTAATTATTACAGCAGGAATCTCTCCAATGACTGTATAGATATCTTTCTTGCAATTAAAAAAATGCTAGTATTTACAAGCAAAATATTTCTAACACCTCTTTAAAAGTTACAGTTATTAACATCTATTTAAAAACAGTACACTTTATCAGAAGGAAAATGCGTCAGAGGGCCAAGCTGTCAGTTTCGAGCAAAGAATCAATTTAAATATGGTCTTGTACCCCCCTCGTATTCTAGGAGGTCTGCTTCCCTGAGGTATGACTTTGAAGGTTATCATTGCTACCTGAAGTTCTGTGGTCATGCTGATAAATCTGTAGGACTTACAGACTTACTTTCTCTTTCTTTTCTCCTTACCTCCCTCTCTCAACTTCCTTTTAAAGAAGCTGCCTCTTGAGATCCCATGACCCAGCCCGAAAGCACAATCTGGTGGCTCACACCACCTTGGGCTGCAGTTCAGATTTACTCGGTGTTGTGGTATGTAATGAATGTGACAGGGTGTAAGGCAGTGAAGCTTGCTCCCTGTTTTTACAAATGCTTCTACTGTACTTGGTTTCAGTTTGATTTCATTACAAGGGACATCTACTTCACATTCTACAGTGAAGCGAATGGAGGAAAGTGAACACCTAAGAAAGGGTAATGGACTCCATACCTACTAAGTCAAAGACAACCAAGTCATCTATATCAGTTCTATCAATACTTGGTCCAGGCAATAAAAATTGCAAAGAAATATTTTAACAAAAGCCTTCCTTTCTATATTTGATATGCTTCTAACCTGAGGAGAATCAAATTTATAGCTTTACACAGTTATTCCAGAATTAACAATATCATCACTATGTTCACTGATTGTACTGAGGTAAAAACTGATCACCTATAAATAGGTACTAAATGAACTTCTCTTTTACCGTTTATTGATAAGCTGTCACAGCTGCTAATCGGACAACTAAATGGGCAACATGACTTCCTTCTAACAGGAAATGGAATTTCAACAAAAGCCTTCTGCTGGGCCAGTGAGATTTTGGGAAAGCAGCTGAGCAAAGCTGATGCCCACCTGAGCCTGTGTGATACAATGCTGTCTGTGATCCTTGGAGCTCCACAGTTCCATGGTTTGGACTGCGGTACACTGGGCTGTAAAAAGTCCTCCCTTCATATATAGGTGTGATGTGCAAGTCAGGAGACACAGCTGAACGCAGGTCTTGCCCAAGCTGACTGTGTTGACTAGCGTAGGAACTTCGTAGCCCTAAAGGCATGAAAGTGACATCATTAAAATTCGAGAAAATCATGGTGAGGCAAAGAATATAAACCCTAGTTAAAATCCCAAGCCACAGTACCAAGTGTTAAGTGTAAACCAAAGTTAGTAAAGTGTTCCAAAACATGGATGCCAGGTGTGAAAAGGACTCTCTACACTATACCTTTTAATAATAAAACTTTCCCTTGGGAGCAGGACAAAAGCAAATTATCTAATAAAAAATAATAGTTCCATCTACTGAAATGCATTCCTATATTGTAAGTTATTTTGTGATGCTGACTAAATGCCCCCTTCTACTATTATGTGACTTTCATTTTTAAAAACAATCATGTGCTGCATAACAATGTTTCAGTTAATGATAGACCATACCTATATGCTATTCACATGAGGTTATGTTGCCAAATGAGGCTGTAGCCATTTTAGTTTGCATTAAGTACACTCTATGATATTCCCACTACTATGAAATAGACAGTAACATCTCTTACAACATATCCCATTGCTACACGATGCACGGTTGTACCAACAGTGATTCAGGTGCCTCTCTCCTCCTGCTCTGCAGACCTGCGTCATTTTATTAAGTGGAAGATCAGCTCTTAGGAAGCAGGGCCTGCAATGTCTCACATTTAAACACCTACGACAATGTTTACATAATGTGCTTATTAGAAAAGGTTAATTCTTAAGTGTTTGTGAAACATGTTTATTAATTTATATACAACTTAGAGATATTAGAAATTTTATGTTACAAAATGTGTTTGTAAAATGTCTATTAATTTATTATGATTTTGACAGAAGTATTAAAAACTTTGTTATAAAATTTGTGCATTATTAGTAAGTGGTGAACATTTATTATTACAAAATACCATTTTACTATTTGTTATCACAGTATTTTTCCTTTCTTAAAAAAAAAAAAAAAAAACCAGCCAAGTGTGGTAGTGCATGTCCGTAATCCCAACATTTAGGAGGTTGAGGCAGGTGGACTGCAAGTTCAAGGCCAGCCTGGATTACATAGTGAAACTTTGTCTAAAATAAAACAAAACACCAAACAAAACTTGTTTTCATAGGAACCCACATACCAAATTCTTGTTTATCTTCTTTTTAGTATAAAGGGACAGTATAGTTAATAGTACATAAAACTTAAGGCATTTGAACTATTTTGATTCAATTGCTAATGACATATTCACATACAGAATTCTTAATAAAATAATTAAAATGTATTTAATTTTTAAGACAAATAGCATACTGTATATTAGAATATTCAGAAATTTGTGATTTATTGTTATGACTAAAAAAGTTTTGTCACTTGGTTAGAATGCCAACTAGGCATTCCATGTATAAGCAAAAAAAAAAGTACAAACATATCTGAGGTTGGTCAGCACATATTTGCCTTCAAAAAAGACTGAAATAATGAACAGAGTAATTATAAGCAGATAGATCATTCTTATCCTGTTAGTTCAGTGAATTGAATGACAACTATAGGCCCACTATTAGGCAAGTGGGCCTAAATATGAGTGATAATTACATGTTGCTCATTGAGGAGTGGCAAAAAAGTTAAGATACTGCAAACTTCTGAAGTGAATGATTATTACCTACCCTGGACAGCAATGTGATATGCAGAGAAACTAAACGAACTAGTGTAGGTTTCAGTACTGACTCCACACTTGCTCAAATGAAGATCACAGGTTTCTAGCTCTTACAGTTGGGATATTATTCAGCCAAAACTCATTTAAAAACCAAGGAAACTGGCAGCCTGAAGGGAAATGTGACTCACTCCCATCAGAGAGCTACTTCTGAGAGGGAGGAAAGCACGGGGCACTGTCACTACACACCTGCACTGGACACAACCAGGCCTCTTGAACCAGTGATGTGCGGTGAGAGGAACTCTGGGCTCCACAGAGCCGGCCACAGTGCTCAGGTTAGCCCCCCAGTGGGGTCTGTGGCAGCGAATAACTTTAAAGACATTATGGTTGCTATTGTAAAACGGGTCTTTTGAGATTTTCAGCTTCTCACTGAATGGCAGATCTCTCTCTCTCTCTCCTCTCTCTGGTTCGTGAGGATCTTGAATGAGAATGTAGACACTGTTTTTGTTAATGGTGACATAAAGCAGATGAGTGTGTCTAGACTGCACTAATCTCACTATGAGGTGCTATATAACACTCAACAGAGACAAACACTCCTGATTCAGTGAGAGACAGTGAGGATCACTCACACTTGGGCAGAGGCAAGCTGAAGACTAGATATTCCTAAAGTCAGCTGTGTACCAGTGCCCTGCGATGCGAAGTAAGAATAAAGTGTGTGCCCCACTCTCAGAATGCTAGTTTCACTCTGTAAGGATCTGGCTAGATTCTTTACTGGGACCCAGTAATAAAACTTTTGGAAACAGCTACTTTGATTTGATGGAAAAGGTAGCAAAATGAGCTCTTTATCATTCAAAAATATAAAATGTAACCAACAGATACTAAACCCATTATGGGATTACTAGTAAAATGAACTTATATGTTATAAGCTGTAATGGAAAATAAAAGAACTACAAGACATAGCACTTTCTTGAAATTAAAATCATTCTAAATAACATACCAATATACTACTTTCATTGACTTGCTCGTGTGTTTATAACATACATAGCCCCGTAGATAAGCACTTTAAAAATGATATATCTTTTTAGACATGGTACAATAAATATGTGCAGAAAGCCCACTACACTTTAGCATCACTGAAATAGAATACAATTATGTTTTATAATTGATACTAAAAATAATTTTGGGGGAAGCATTTCTACAAATTTTAAATAAACTTATTTCTCCTTCCAAATGATGGAAAAGACTGATATGCCACAATATTACTTTCTCAACCAATAATTTCTCTTTGCAATTCCACAAATACATATCAGATAATCTATTACATGTGATTCAAAATATTTTTATTTGAAACAGACATAAGCATTTGGAAGGCTGAGGTAGGAGGATTGTTGTGAGTTTGAGACCAACCTAGGTTACAAAGTGAGCTCAAGGCCAGCTTGAACTGCACAGCAAGACCCTGTCTCAAAAAGATAAAAAATAAAAAAGACATAAATTTGTCTTTCAAACATTGATTCTTTTTGCAAAACCTTTTCTGACATGGTATGGATTATACAAAAAAAAAAAAAAAAAGGTATTTTACAGCACACTTCTCTGTGGTAGAAAGTAAATTTATATACACTGTATTATCACTGAAATTGTGATCAATAATCAAGTCCCTGAATTTATGACAAAATACCACCGTACACATATTGATTAATAGACCACTAAAATCAAGAATGATTGCAAATATAATGACAAGTACATCATTTTCCAAAGTGAGAGAAAAAGAAACAGATTCATAAGTTCAGAACAAGTGGTCAGGCAGATGACAGGAAACAAAGCTATCACAGAACCTTTCAGATGAGGATGCTGGCAAACTGCCTGCTGGCTAGGGAGACAGCCACAAACCTTTCCAAGAAAATTTTTAAAAAACTTTTAGTTATTTTAAAAACTATAGCTATTTCTAGAAAAATATATCATACATACAAAAAAAGACTTTTTAGAAATCCTCCTAAGTGTTCCACTTGGAGACACTGATCTATTTTGCTGATTTCCTTCCAATCACTATCCTGCAAGCTGGGATTTCTGAATAGCTCTTCTACACATAAACAGAGGGAATACTGAAGTCCTCAGAACTATTTACTTTTTGAGGTTCCTTTGGGAGGCAGAAGTTCATAAATGATTCCTATATAACTTTTTTGTATATTTTTCTGAGATATTCCTGAGAATATCTAAACCAATCACACTTCTCTGATGGCAGAATAAAAAAGTACTTTTACCACGAGTAATTTCTTTGAGTTTGTTATGGCTTATGTCTAAATGTCTCCCCCCAGTGCGTCATGTGGTTATAGATGGGGCTTTTTCAGAGGTGGCAGGATCTAGAGTGTGTGATTACTAAATTAGACCACTGTTTGGTTTGGCATCACCCTAATCCCAGTAGCCTGGATATAATATAAGGGGCAGAAAGATGCTGTTTAAGGCCCCTTGTTGCTTTTGCTACATTCTGCCTGCCATGAACTGTTCTCTTCTGCCAAGAGACCCGGCCTTGGAAGCTACTAAGGTTGCTTGGACTTACCTCTTCACTACTTCATTGCTTTGCTACCTTCTGCCTGCCATGAACTGTTTCTCCTCTGCTATGCGGTCTGCCATGCCACCTTGCCTCGGAGCCAGCCGACTATGGACTGAAACCTCTACAGACTGTGATCCAAAATAACCTTTCTTCCTTTAACTTTGGGTGTTGGGTATTTTGTCCCAGCAACAAGAAAAGTAACTAACACTGCTCAAATTCAAATTTAACATAAATTCATCATCATACAGTGAGAAAAATCACAAAATACTTCACACTACTTAGAAGCCTTAAGGAAAAAAAAATTACCAGAAAACATTAAACATTTTTATAAATAAAAAAAACCCAAGCAACATTTCAAACAAAATGTTAAAAACATCACAAGGGGAGAACTTCAAGTATAAAAAAAGTTTTTACAAATTATTTTTAGCAAGATGAAATGGCTAAGAAGCGTAAGGAATCTTCGGCGTCAAGCATAATTCAATAAAGGTCCTTTAAAAGGACAAGGTACAGCTTTTTATCCATCAGATGGGCAAAGGTAGAGATGTGAACAATACGTAGTGCTAGCGAATACTCAGGAAGATAGTATACTCAGCTCTAGGTGAACAGTGGAGTCTATGAAATCATCTGGGAGGGCAATTTGAAAATTTCTGAAGGTAAAAATATGTACATATTTTGAGGTGGCAATTCTACTTTAAGGGAACAAAAAGAACCAAGGTATGCTAAGTACAAGTCGCTACTCCCTAAGATGAGTGTAAATATCCTGCACTGCAAATACGTACTGATGAAAACATAAAAAAAGAACACATGACAAAATCTCAGCAGTACAAAGGAAAGCAGTACAGTGTGCATGCACCTTCAGATGGAAGGCAGATCCTAGTATACAGACACATCCAAGAACTGGCCCATGTGGGTGGGAGAGGGTCAAATGGCTTGAGACTTTCACTTCTCATTCATATTTCCTCTGTATGATTACGATGATTTTAGAATTTTGTATACACTTTTAAAATATAATTTAAAACATGAAAGACAAATGTCATTTTACTAAAAAGAACAAATTCTTTACAGTATGTGAGAAATCTTTTGTGAAAAAATCCCTCAAGGGGGCAGCTATAGGATCAGGGACTTGGTATCTTTCCCATATAATCCAAACAGCATTAAAGGTAATTCATAAGAGTTCTGTGCATTTCCCACCAAGATGCTAAAACCAAGGGGGGTGGGAGTAGGGGACTGGGGAGTGAAATTAATATTCTAGTCCATACCGCTACAGTATTTCTAAAGAAAAAATTTAAATATGAAGAAAAAAATCTTTCATTAAAACAATCTAATTGTTTAAAATTCCAACAAATTTTTCTCAAGTATAAAAAAAGGGTACATTTGAAACCCTAATATTCTGAGAGAAGGAAGCGTATCCATTTGCAACAGTTCTGCTATCATAAATGTGTATGATTTCATGCGTTAAGCAGTAGACCGTAAAAGACAAGTTAACGTGAGGCTCACAATGTAAATTTCCAGACAGGAACACGCGCTTTCCAAATGAGCCTTCTGTTTCAGCTTGCTGTGGGAGGATCCCTTCCTGGCTTTATGAAGTGTTGTCTCCCCTACTTACCTGTCAAGCTGTCTGGCCGAGGTGGAACCATCCTTTCGTAAATATCATACTGCTGCTGTCCGAACTGCTCCATGTCATGAACAGGTCTTTGCAGGGACGGTCCCAGATGCTGTGGTACGGCAGTCATTCCTGAGCGTTTGGGGGATGATGACCCCACCTGGCCTTGGGATGGGGAAGCTACTCGAGTTTGTGCATCTGTCAGGGTCAGCGGGGGCCCCACTCTGGTGGCGGTTTGGTACTGAGGGGTTGGTCCGTTGGGATTGGAAGTTTGTCGAGAGGTGACCGACCCAATCCGCCGCACAGCTGTTGGGGAGGCGGGTCTCTGTGAGTACGGAGAGGCTGCCCGCTGAGCAGGTAACGTGGTGGAGGAATATGCGCTGGGGTTCAGAGGTCGGGAGTCGGTCACTGACGGAGAGCCAAATCCACTACCCAGAGAAGCTCTCAGTGACCCCCTTGAAGGAGACACGCCTGTGCTGATAACATAAGAAGGAGACTGTGCTCTAGATGGAACTGAACTAACTCTTCTCATGGCCCGATTGGCTACTGATGGCTGATGAGAGGGGGAGAAAAGAGAACGGGTTTATCCAGGGTTATGTGTCCATTGTCATTACAGAAAAAATGCACATAGCTTGCAACAGAATGTGAATTTACTATTTATTTTAGGCATCAAAGTTTCTTTCTGCTTTCTGCCTTACAGCTAGATCTTACTTTTCCTCATGATGTACTTCTACATTTGTTTTTGTGGTGTTTAAATCTCAAAGTTAAAATTAGCCAACAAAAAGAGATCTGAAGACATTTAATATTCTTTTTTTCCTGTCTTTACATTTCTTTACCTTCTTGCCTACACATTTTTCATAACATATAAAATGTTTTATTTGAAGTGCTACATGAGTGAGAAGGGTCACCAGAGCAAAGTACTTACTTCATTCCCTGTGGGTCAAAGTTTGGCCAAGGTAGTGCATTTTTGTAAAACAAAAAGAATGTTTTTGAATATATCAGTCTAAATATTACTAGAGGGGTATTTATAAATGGTTATTCTTTACAAGTTGGCCCTATTAACAAAAGGAATGTGTTCTTTCAAAGTGGAATAAACGAACTTTTGAATAGAGCCTAGGCCTAGTGCATTTCCATGTGAATTCACTCTAAGGAACAGCTTGATTGTACAGATGTGCTAGCCAAATTTGTTTATTACTATAGCTCAAGTATGGCTTTCTCTTTCTTTTTATCTCCTCTGAGCTATGAGCTCTTAGCTTTAGCCGGTGGATTTAAAGAGGGCGACAAAGGCACCCCACGTCAGTGCCAACAGGAGGAATGCTCAAAGTCTCTGCTGGGGTCTTGGTCTAGTCAGTTGGAAAAGACCAGAATGGAAAATGAATCTACTACGACTCTGTAGACTCCTGTAAGCACAAATGGTGTCAGATATCTTTCTTAATGCTGTGCAATACCAGTGGTAGTTGGACAGGAGAAGGGGCTGAGGGGAGCAGGCATGGGAAAAAGAAAAGCTGGCTGAGAAATGAAAACAAACATTAGGGCTCCAGATGATAAGCCCAGGACCAGACTGCTTAGTTATTTCCTCAGAGACTGCAGCGTTTGGTTGCCATCAACCTCAATTCACTTTCAGTTGTGGCGACAGAAGGAGCAGGGATGAGAGAGACTCTGTGTGCTCTTACATATGTTAGAAGATGAGAGCTTTTCTCAGGTATCACAGGCAACTGAGTTGGCTCAAATACCTGCTGAACCTCAGGTGTGCTCAAGTTCAACAATTCCGGGAAATTAATAGATGTGGGGAGGAAATGAGATGGGGAGTGAAGAGGAGAATCACAATACAGTGGAAATAGGACTTAAAAATTAATAAATGGTTGAAAAATTAAAATGCATGATTGAGTGCTAATGGTACTAATACACTATCCAAACAGAATGTCACTTGGACCAGACACAACTAGAAAATATGATGTTCAGACTATATGCAAATTAAGTCTTAGAGACCTACTTGCAATAATTCTTAAGCTCTAGGAACAAAATCAATTGTTAAGTTTAAAAACTGAAAATGTGTAACATGATCATTACTAAAGAAAAGAGAAAAATTTCTATGGTTAAGGTAGTTATTGTTCAAAGGTTTGACCTTAGCCCTACAGACACAGAAATTCACCTAAGCAAATAAATTTTCATAGGTATTTAATCCAAAGTGTCTCAAACTTTTCCACTAAAGCAATCTTAACAGCAAAGGGCACATGTATAAGCTGAAGACTGGAAGTGTAGCTTTAAGTAGCTTGCTAGAAGTACAAAATTTCCTGTTTAAGCTTAAAAAGTCATGTGCTTAATTTTTTTCCTAAATAAATGAGCAGAAGTGTCGAAGCTGTATTATGTTCCTCCTCTGGCATTGTGAAACCTGGCCATGTTGTATATATCTGAAGGCATCCAGGATGGCATTATGAGGAACAATAATGTCTGATTCACTTCTCTGATCACTTTGCTAGTTTTCAACTCCAAAAAGATCACTGGGGTACTTGGATAGAGATCTATCCTTACAGGTTACTGGTCGCCAGGACTCCTACTGTTTCTCTTATCCCTGGCACATGCTAGTGGAGAGTTGTGAATAAAGTAGCAATGATGAGTGGTTATACAAATATATAGACAATTTATTTTTTACTATTATTATGCCTATCAAGTTAGAAAGCCTTAACAAAATGACTGTGCTTCCATACAATATTTTCTCAGGAATCTATATTTTAGTCAAAGAAAGGAAAAGTGTTTTCAGAGAATAAATAGTTCCAAAGAAGAAGGTAAAAACTTTTGGTAATAACAGGCTAAGCCCCATTTATCCGGTGTGTGAATAGTACTCTACCCTCCAGACTTCCTATTGTGTATTTTAGCTCTAGTATTTTTAGGAACTCTTAACTCTTCAGGAACAACAACATTATATCCAGTTTTCTAATACTGCCTCTGAACTCTTCATGCCAAACTTCTTATTTATAAAAGAATTACTCAACTGTGTTTAAGAACTTACCAGAATTGATTAATAGGAGCTGAGTAGATGAAACAAACATATTTTTAGGGTTTAGGTTTTATAATAATTTAAGTCAAATAATACAAAGTGATTTTGGTATTTTATCCATGCTATAACCTCAAAATTGTACCTATTAGTAAGAAATATCTATTATAGATACTTAACTGGGTGGGTATTTTTTCATAAGGATCTTGATGTTTTTGGCTTACCTGAACTAGTGTTTGTCCTTCAGCTCTCGAACTTCTCACCAAGTGGTTATTGGCTGATCCTATGAATGAATGCTGCTGTCTATTATCAGTCTTGCTCACGTTCTGGTTGTTGTGGAAACTTCCTGCTTCTTGATATCCACTGTCGGAATAAGAATTCATTTGCGTTGAACTTCTGGAATTACCCAATGATCCTGCAGGAATGAAACCAGCAGGAAATCTCTTTATGATACAACTCTGGTGCTCATGTTCAAAATGAAAATATTAAAAGTATAATACTTAAAAATGAATACCACAGACCCTCACTTTCATGGAGAGATGTCTGTTCTGGTGAATAGAGGGTCCCTTGTTCTGGCTCTGCCCTGATGAGATAGTTGTTGGGGTGGACAGCGTCAGAAACTCTAGGCTTGTTTACACCAGTATTTGGCACATCTGCAAATAGATAAGTTCAATTACATTATAATTATTACATAAAAATTTGTTTTAAAAGGCTCAAATATTTGTCAATATCTTAACCATGTATATGTTAGCATAAGGCTCTATATTTTCACCTTAAAGAGCAGGTAGTTTGATTCCTATATACAAATGTGGTTCATATACTCCATTTAGGGGCTGGGGATTTAGCTCAGTGGCACAGCGCCTGCCTGGCAAGCACGAGGTCGTGAGTTTGATTCCCGGTACTGGAAAAAAACCAACCAAACAAAAAAACCATATACTCAGTTTACCATTATATTAGGTCATGTGCAAAGGATCTTGTTTCCCCTTGGAAAACTTATCTCTCAGGCACCTTTCTCCAAAAACGATTTTGAGACAGAATGGAAACAATGACCAAGCACAGTGCTGTTTAGGGTCATGAATGCTTGTGCCTGAAAACAATACGGTTTGCAAACAGAAGCATTTGGAAAAATTTTGTTTTTGTGTGCAAACTCTGCCCTGGGTGGTAAAATGACTGTGGCCATATTTCCCACACCAACACAAATGTCACCTTTTCAAAAATCATAGAACAAATTATGGTCGTGAATTGAGGCACTACTGTATATAAAAAAAGGTCCTCCATATCCCAAACATTAAAAATAAAAGCTTACAACAGTGTTCACATTGTAGAGCTTGGTGATTAAATCCTGGAAGATAGGACACCTTTTTTATGTCATTCAAAGGAATTCTACTAAGTTTTCAGAGCTGCAAACCCATCTGCTTAATTACTTCTTCAGTTATTTTATAGATGAATATAGACAAGTCTAACCTGATCATTTTTCCTTTAACTAAACTTGTCTCTCCGTATAGATAGATGTAATTTTAAAATTTTTTATTTTAATTTTTTTTTGAGACAGGTTCTTACTATGTAGCCCAGGCTGGCCTCAGATTTAAGACAATCCTCCTATTTCCACCTCTCAAGTGTTGCTATTACAGGTGTGTACCACCAGGTCCGACCACTATATTATTTAACTGTAACATTTGTCATCTTGAACTTGAAAAAGAAACAATAAAATACAAAGAAACAAAAATAATTTATCTCATTTCCTCTTGTAACTCAGGTTTCTAATGCTATAAATTTAGGTGTTCTAGATCATGCTGCCCTTTCCCAATTCCTCTCAAATATCCTCTTTTCTCTACTATCTAAAAGAAAAATCTTCTCATGAATACAAATCTTTCTTTCCTCAAATTTATGCTTTATGGTATTAACATGTTTTTTCTAATAATGCTGCTTTACTCTCACTTCAAAGATTTTAAATTAGTCCATGCACATAGTTCAACATACAATCCTAAGTACTTCAATATCTTTGTCTTTCTTCCTAGCTTTCCTTCTTCTGTAGGGTTCTATTATATGCCATGTCTAGGAATGTAGTATGAGAAAAGATGTGTGTTGCAATGTGCATACATGTGTTTTCATGTGCATGTGTGTGTGTTGGGAGAAAGGGGAACAAACAGGAAAAATATCCTAGATGAATTAACATCTAAGCAGCTCCATTAACTACAGGAAGCAGCTGTTCCTTTTGGTATGGCATTTACAGTCTTTCTCTATTTAGCATATAGGCTCAAGGAGGACAGAGACCTTTATCTAGTTTGCTTACTTTATATCCTCAGTAATAAAGATGGCACATTATACTCAGGAGAGGCTTGTAAATATTTGTTGAACAAACACATTCTTCATAACAATAGCAGCTTCCCTTTATTTGGAACTGATTCATGCTTTGTACCATGCTATAGCTTTATCGTATTCCCCCGCCCCGGTACCAGGAATCAAACTCACGACCTCGTGCTTGCCAGGCAGGCACTCTGCCGCTGAGCTAAACCGCAGTCCCTATTGTATTGTATCCAATACAATGTGGGTATATAAAGCAAAGTCAAAGTTTTAGGCACTGCTTTCAAGCTGATTTACAAGGTGAATATGAGACTTCAGCAAGATCTGGGAAATTCTACTGCATTCTATATCTTTAACGATGTCAGATTCAGCCTGAGGTTTTGTTTTCAGCTTCTAGAAGGGTATGCTGACATTCCTGGTACAAGTTCCTAACGATCTCTCTCCTGACACATCCTTTGACAGTATACTAGCTGGTTGAATTCTGTGACAGTTCTGAATTCTCAACTCTGGAATTTTAATAAAGATTACAGACGCTACTCTGTGGTTTCCCCGGTACAAGCTGAAACATGATCTGAGTCACTGACAGGCTGATGGTACTAGAAAGTGATACACTGCATTTGTGAATTTTCTATTACAAGTTTTATATTACAAATTTTTACTTGTATTACAAATTTTCTATTATACAGTATTAACATTCTTTTCCAACAATTCTTGAAGGAATTTGTTAACTCTTAGGAAAAATATGTAGAGTGAGTGGGGCTAGAAGAGTCCCAAGGGAGTTGAAAAAAATGTGGAGTTGCAGGCTAGGCAGAAGTCTACCTTTGTCCAGGGAGGGAACATGGGAAAGTGACTTGAAAACAGCAGCAAGTTACAGAGACTGTGAGAGTCAAGTCTTCCTCAACAGGCAAAAATGTAGTATTCAAAAGAAAAAGATATTCAAAGAGGTCATGGTTTTAGTTTTAACACAAAATAAAATGTGGGGTACCAATGCATCAGAGGGTTTGGCAATTGTGCTTATTTAAACTCTTCTTTATCAGTCCTCCTTTTGCCCCACATACACTAAACTCTTCTTTATGAAAAGCTATTTAAATAAGTGATTTTAGAGCAACAGCAAAACATAAGATATGCAACTGCACACTGGTTACCGTAATAAAACATAACAAGGGGCTGGGGATTTAGCTCAGCGGCAAAGCGCCTGCCTGGCAAACGCAAGGTCGTGAGTTCAGTTCCTGGTACCGGAGAAAAACAAAACAAAAGAAAACAAAACAACAACAACAAAAAAACATAACAAAACCAGTATCTCAAAAACAGACAAAACAAAAAAATTACCCTAAAAGTAATATAGTGAGTGACATACCCACTAAATGTTACCACCTGACTTGGCTTCTTTTACTTTTCAATGCAATACTCCAGGAAACACAATACAGAGGAAGGGACACTGAGATGGAAATAAAAAGTAAATTACTAAATTCCCATGTGTGGACAGTCCAATCTGGAGAGCCAAATAAATGGGTTGAGAGAACAGGGCAAAGGTTTTATGCCCCATTTTTAAATAAATACACAAATTAGAGTTGTAAAAAAATTATAAAACAGACTTCTTTGATATAAACTATAAATCAACTAATTTGTACACTATACAGTCATTTTTGTATTTCTATCATGGAGCACGCAATAAATAAATATCTGCAGAGAAAAAAATCCTGAAGTATCTTCTGAGTCATTCAAAGAATGTCAGGGGATTCAACTGTGTTGGTGTTTTGCTTCTTAAACTCCATGTATTCATTATATTATTATGCAAATCTTTTGATAGTCTAAAAAACATCACAAATTGAAAATAAAACTAAAGTATAAGAAAAATGCAGTTTTCAAAATTGTTGTATTATTAGTTTCCTTGAAAACTTGTAATTCACAAATTATATACACACATATATAAATGTATATACATGCAACCTATCTCAGATAAACAGAAAAGCCATTTCCTACTTACTGGGTTAATTATTTCTGATTGTAAAATGGTAAGGGACACATTTATTAACTGTGTGTTATTTATGAAATCTTAGTTTAAGATGTGTGTTTTTTACAACATATATTATGTGTAATAGAAAAGGCACTAGTCAAATTTAACAGAGAAACCACAGAGGGATATAGTATGGGATTAACCATTTTATGATTAATTCCATGACTTATAATTAGAAAGTTATAATTAGAAAGTTATATTGTGATTTAACATGATCAGGACAAGAAATCAAGAGATACTTTATTAAGAGATACTTTATTAAGTAAAAATGGCAAACAGAATATGAATGCTACTTCTTTAATCTGTATACTGAAGAACATACATTAAAGAAAAATCACAAACATATTTTTTGAGACACCCAAAATATACCACAGGGTATTTTCAAACATCAATTAGCTTCTTCCCAGAAAAAGTGTATCTAAAAATATAGAACTTGAACATGTTTCAAGGCAGAACAAAATCTTCATCTGTGTCTAAGACTGGGAGATTATTAGAATCATGGTCCGTCTTTATTTCATCTGAATGCATATATATATATATATGTGTGTGTGTATATATGTGTGTGTGTGTGTATATATATATATGTGTGTGTGTATATATGTGTGTGTGTGTGTATATATATATATGTTCAATTAGAGAAAGTAGAAGCTTGCCTCTAAGGAAAATATTAGCAGCTAAAAGATGTGAGATAGCTATGAAACTGACATATTATCCATCTTAAACTCATAGTAACAGATGAAATATGTCGATTATTTCGTATTTCCTGTGATGTACTTCTCCAAATGCTCAAAGTACATAAATTGTGCTCAGTTAAAAATCCTCAAGAATGTGAAATTATTAAAATGGCTCTGGTTTATCAGAGATTGTCTTGCTGTTTATATTGTATGAAAGAAGAAGTTCTGTACAGTATAAAATCACCATGGAAACAGACCCAGACATCAGTAAGGAGATTTTTAGTGCTATATTCAACCCTGTAACCAGTCTTTCACAGTCCAGCATGTGGCAAGCTCATGGTGAGTTCTCCTCATCAGGGCCTGTTGCTATGGCATTTAGGGATTTGCTCTTATGTAAAGGTAGTATACGGTGTGGGTTTTGGTAGGACTCTTGGGATACTACTAACACATAACAATCTGCAGATGAAACTCTCTTTAAAAGTTTCTCCTAACTCTGGCCTGTGACTTGAGGTTATGCAATTAAACCAAAAAGGGCAATACCTTCTGAAAACTTCCTGTTTGATCATAGGACTCTCATTCCCTCCAGGACCACAGGTGGAGAAGGGAGTCTATTCTCCACAAGGTGCAGAATATTCCAGTACTTCCTATGGCCGAGAAA